CTAGATTTGACTGATTATTCATTCATAGTAGGAGCAGACATGAACGCAGTATGGGACACTAATCTTGATTGGTCAAGTTCAACTGCTTCCAGGGAGCAGGAATCAGCTACTGCTGCTTTACATTTGTGGGCCAGTAGTCTGGGGCTTGTAGATATATGGCGGTCTCTCAATCCCTCATCAAAAGACTGTACTTTTTTCTCATCCAGACATAAAACTTTTTCAAGGATAGATTTCTTGTTTTCGTCTCCTATAATTATCCAGAAAATGTATCATGCTGTGTTATTGCCTATAGCCCTCTCGGACCACAAAGGAATATGGTGCTGCGCTACCCTGGGTGGCTTATCCAAGCGAGCCCCTAGATGGCGCTTCAATACTTCCCTATTGGTGAATGATGAATATAAGTCACAATTCCTATCTCAATTAGAGGATTTTTTAAGTTTAATGTAGGTTCAGTTGAGGACCCCAGAATATTATGGGAGGCGATAAAAGGTTTTATACGGAGCAATGCTACACTGTTCTGTTCCAATTTGTGCAAAGCCAGATCTGCCAAATTGCAAGCTCTTGAAGCAGACTTTGTTAGACTGGATTCCACCTTACAGAGTAATTACTCTTCACAAATAGCAGTGGAACGTGACCTTGTTAAGAAAGAAAGAAATTATATTCTGAAGCGACGTTCAGAATTTTTAATCCATAGAACTAGACGATACTATTTCCATGGGTCCAGACCTAGTCATCTATTGGCTATGAAAATTAGGTCAAATGAGCATTTTGCTGATATTCCCTCTATCAAATCAGAGTCTCAGCCTGAACAAGAGAGATGTAATGATTTTCTTAAAAAGTTACATTTACCACGGCTGGCAGAGAATGTTTCCATTCTACTTGACAATCATATTTCTTTAGAAGAATTGAAAGAGGCAGCCCTTGCCATGCAAAGGAATAAATCACCTGGTTTAGATGGGATACCTCCTGAGTTTTATTTTATATTCTGGAATAAATTGGGTCCCTTGCTTCTAGACATGATAACAGCTTCAATTGAAAAAGGCAGCTTTTCTAGAGATGTTAATTCTGCCCTAATAACTCTACTTTTAAAGAAAGATAAGGATCCTACAGAATGCGCAAACTATAGGACATTAAGTCTACTAAACTCCGATTTAAAAATTTTCGCAAAGGTTCTTGCCCGGCGCATTCAGGATTACATGCCCTTGTTAGTCCATTGTGATCAGACAGGTTTTATTAAGTCTAGACTGGCAGTGGATAATATCAGGCACCTCCTACATATAATTGATGCGGCAGTGGGTGCTAAGGCTCCTTCAGCAGTGCTGTCCCTGGATGCAATGAAGGCCTTTGATAGGATGGAGTGGTCATTCTTGTGGTCTGTTCTGGAAAACATGGGTTTTGGTAAAGGTTTTATACATATGATTAAGGTCCTTTATTCTAATCCCACAGCATTAGTACTTACTGGACAATTGCTTTCCTCATCATTTTCTATCACTAGGTCTTCGCGACAAGGGTGTCCTCTAAGTCCAGCGCTTTTTGCTCTTTCCATTGAACCTCTTGCCCAGATGATTCGACAATGCACTGAGATAAGGCCTATTTCCGTTCACAATACTTTGCATCATGTAGCGTTATATGCTGATGATGTTCTGGTTTTCTTGGAAAATCCAATACAGTCTATTTATAGCCTGCTGTCTATTTGTGAAGAGTTTGGCCATTTATCTGGTTTCAAGGTTAACTGGTCTAAGTCTGCCCTCTTACCTTTAAATGAGTCGGCTAAAATGATGCAGAATCCACCTATTATTTCTGTTGTTCAGCACTTTAAGTATCTTGGGATACAAATTTTTCCCTTTTTGAACCATACTGTAACGCACAATTTTTCAGAAGTAGGCAAGGACATCAAGAGAGATCTGGACAGATGGATTAATCTGCCCAACTCTCTGCAGGCCCGAATCTCTATTGTAAAAATGAATATTTTGCCTCGATTAAATTTTTTTAGTTCTATGATATCCCTCTCCCCTCCTGTCAACTTCTGGAATAAAATCCATGGTAATATTTCACAATTCATCTGGAATAGAAAAAGACCACGTTTGAAGTTGGCTACTTTACAGAGGAAGAGGGTAGATGGCGTGATTGCTCGAATTTGGATCCAGATTTTACTTGGGAGGATGTTTGGGTAAATATAAAGGAGGCCTCTGGTAATCCTCACCACCAGCAGATTCATTTCAACTTTGTACATAGAACATATTTAACCCCTCGCAAGCTACATTTAATGAAGAGATTAACCGACCCAACCTGTACCCTATGTGTTCTGAAGGTTCCAGGTACTTTCTTGCACATGATGTGGGAGTGTCCGCCTGTTGCTCAGTTTTGGACTGAGGTAGCATCCAGATGGTCTGATCTGGTTTCAGCAACGGTACCCGTAACGGTGCCTGTTTTGTTATTGAATAAGTTAACAATGTTGGACATTAATAATCAGCATAAGCGCACAGTACTAGCTGGCCTTACAGCTGCAAAAAAAGATGATTGCATTGAGATGGAAACCTCCTAATTCACTTTCTGTTAGATGTTGGATTCTTACATTTTTGGATGTGATTTTTCTAGAACTGTCTACTGCTCGAGTTAATGGTGCGAATGAAAAGACTCTCTGTAGTTGGAACACTGTTGCTGAGTCACTGAAAGCCTTAGTTGGAACACTGTTGCTGACTGACTGAAAGCCTGGTTGAGATTATGTCTTTTTTTTACCTGATTTAATTTTGTTTACTCATTAATTTGAGCTCCTGAACTTGAGTAATTCCCCTTTATTAATATATATATTTTGTTCTCCATGTGTATATTGTATATGTATGGATGTATGTGTGTGTATATTTTATTTATATGTATCTGTATATGCGTGTGTATATGAATATATATTTATGTATATTTATATATGTATTTATATACTGCATGTATATTTACGCATATTTTCTTTTGACTGTTTTGTTGTGATTTTGAAATGTGTTGTAATATTTTGTTGTTCTTTTCCTTTTAATAAACATTTGATCGCAAAAAAAAAAATGTTTTACTGTTATAAAAAGCTTAGGAATAACAACCATTGTATACACAGTCCCCCCATGTTCAGGGGCACAAATAAATAATCATAAATAAAATATTAATTTTTAACATTTTGTTGAGAATACTTTGCAGGCAATGACTGCCTTAAGTCTGGAACTCATGGACATCACCAGAGACTGAGTTTCCTCCTTTGTGATGCTTTGCCAGGCCTTTACTGCAGCTGACTTCAGTTATTGTCTGTTTGTGGGTCTTTCTGCCTTTAGTTTTGTTTTCAGCAAGTGAAATGCATACTTAATCGGGTTGAGATCAGGAGATTGACTTGGCCATTGCAGAATAATCCACTTTTTTACCTTCAAAAACTCCAGGGTTGCTTTTGCTGTATGTTTTGAGTCATCGTCCATTTGTACCATGAAGCGCCATCCAATCAACTTTGCTCCATTTGACTGAATCTGGGCAGATAGTATATCCCAATACACTTCAGAATTCATCTAGCTGCCCGACTGTTCTCTGTCACGTCATCAATAAACACCAGTGACCCAGTGCGACTCGAAGCCATGCATGCTCATGCGTCACACTGCTCCACCATGTTTCACAGATGATGTTGTGTGCTTTGGATCATGAGCTGTTCCAAGCCATCTCTATACTTTTTTCTTCCTGTCATTCTGGTACAGGTTGATCTTAATTTCAGCCGTCCAAAGTATTCTTTTGCAGAAGTGGTCTGGCTTTTTTTTAGATGATTTTTGGCAAAGTCTAATCAGGTCTTATTTGCACCTTGTAGTGAACCCTCTGTATTTGCTCTCGTGAATTCTTGAAGTTCTTTTGCTCCGTCATGGATCGCAACATAATGCTTTTTGGCTTTAAAGCAGGGCACCCTCATGCCTGAAGTACAAGATGCTGGACTATTTGCATTGATGGTGGATGAGAGTAGGGACCTCAACAAAATGGAACAAGTGTCTGTAGTGGTGCACTACGTAAAAAATGATGAAGCTGTGGAAGAATTTCTTCATTTTACTCCAGCTGACGGGTTAGATGCTGAGTCGCTTTTTGCTACTGTCAAAGAGACTCTTAGTAAATGTAACATTGATCACACTGCCTGTATTGCTCAGTGTTATGACGCCGCTGCCATGATGTCTGATGTTCACAACGGGGTCCAGGAGAAATTCAGAGAAGAGGTCCCTCAGGCAATCTACATTCATTGCCACGCACACCGCCTCAATCTTGTTTTAGTGGACTGTGTCAGAAACGTGAAGGCAGCGGGCGATTTTTTTGTTATTGTGCAAGACATTTACAAGTTTTTCTCAGGCTCATTTGTCCATGCTCATTTCACTAAGAAGCAAAGGGAATTTGAGCCTTCACAGCAGCCCATTGAACTTAAGAAACTGTGTGATACGAGATGGTCCTGCCAGTACCACTCGCTGTGGGCACTGCAAAAAACCCTGCCAGCCATCATTGCAACCTTAAAGGACATTAAATCGCAGCCAAATTCACACAGGACGACTGATGCGCGGTCACTACTCTCACTCATTGATGCTGAATTCATCCTCCACCTTATCCTTTTTGAGGATCTGTTCCGCTCTGCAAAGTTTATGTCTGACACTCTACAGTCCCCTGATCTTTTGCTCGAGACTGCCACTGACCTCGCACACTCAGTCATCACCAGCATAAAAGAAAAGCGCACGGAGGACTCCTGGAGAGCCGTGTGGAGAAATGGAGAGGCCCTTTGCGCAAATGTTGGCGTCATCATACCACCGCCGCCCCTACAAGAGAAGAGGCAATCTCAAAAGTCTCGCCATCTACAGGACTTTATAATTGAAGCTCCAACCGAACATCATCCATCCATGTCCTCTTCGGATGAACTCCGAACATCCTCATTCTACCCTGTCATTGACCGACTCGTGAATTAAATGACCCGACGGTTTTCTGCAGAAGCATGTGCAGTTCTCATTGGAACGTCAGCCCTCAACCCCAAGCATGCCACATTCCTTCAAAAGGAGAGCCTTGTGCCCATGGTACAGCACTATGGAATCAGAGAGGAAAATCTGCTGGCTGAGTTGCACCAAATGCGCCGGCTTTTGGAATGTAATGCAGTCCCATGTTGACTGCATCATCCACAGACCTGTTTGCTCTGTAGGCAAACTGAAGAGGATCCAGCAAGGGTCTAGTGATGTCCTTCAGGTAGGCCAGGACCAGTCTCTCAAGTGACTTCATGACCACAGATGTGAGAGCGACAGGTCTGTAGTCGTTAAGTCCAGTGATTTTGGGCTTTTTGGGGACCGGAATGATGGTGGAGCGTTTGAAGCGAAATACGATAATTATCATATGTCTGGCAACACATGAAAACAGGAAATCATTAGAGCGTTAATCGGAGAAGGGACAGAAAAAAACTAAACATTAACATGTTAAACTGAACCCCATAAGCACAATCAAGCCTAGAAAAAAATCAGTCAACCACCCATTTAAGTACATATCAGTATGGTCACTGGTCAGAGTGGGATATAGTGTTTAGTGCCTGAGTTTAGAGTTCAGTAGGCTAACAGCTGAGGGAAAGAAACTGTTCCTGAGTCTGCTGGTGCAACAGTGAAGACTTCTATAATGTCTCCCAGATGGGAGAGGAGTAAAGAGTCTGTGGCTGGGGTGAGAGGAGTCTTTGATAATGCTTCTACTGGATTACTACTGGATCTACCAGTTTGCTAAGTTTCAAATGATTATTAAAGGGTTAGTTCACCCAAAAATGAAAATTAGCCCATAAATTACTCACCCTCAAGTCATCCAAGGTGTATATGACTTTCTTCTTTCAGACGAATCCAGTCGGAGTTATATTAAAAAT